CCGGCCGGAGCCCGCACCGCCTTCTCACTCGCATCGACGCCAACCGACCTGACCCGGCCTGGCTCTGCCCGGCCAGATAGAGCGTAGAGCAGCAAGCAAGTAGGTGTCCGCCCTGTGCTCGGCGTCGTATCGGGGCCTCCAGAACTACAGACCCCAGCAGGCCGTTCCGGGGCCGTGAGCCCTCCCTCCGTTCCCGAAGAAGCTGGGCACACTTTGGAGAACGGAGGAGCCTACAGGTTTCCTCTTCCCCTCGCTATAAAGCCGCCCGCAGAACAGGGAAGAGCGCGTAGTCCAAGTGACCTCAAGCCCGAGCCGGGCCCCAGGTGTCCGGGTTCCAAACCGGGATGGGGAGTGTTAAGGAAGAGACGAACCCAGCAGTCTTGGGGTGAGCAGGAGCTCTGTGGGCCCCCAGCCCCGACCCAGGACTCCAAAGAGGTGCAGGGGGTGTGGCTGCGCTGGGGCCTGGACTTGCCATCTCAGGTAACAGGATCGCATCGCCTCCGGCCTGTGCTGTGCCGGGGAGCAGGCTGTGGGCGGGGCCTAGCTTGTTTACCTCGGCGTCATTTACCCAGAGAAGGCTGAAGGGAGAGGGCCGGGGCCAGATACCCATGGGCTGGCCTCCTGTCCTCAGGGCCGCACTAGCCCCTCAGAGCACAGGACGCCCTCCCCAAGGACATGAAGCTGTTGGAGAACTCGAGCTTCGAGGCCATCAACTCACAGCTGACTGTGGAGACTGGAGATGCCCACATCATTGGCAGGTGAGGGCGGGGCTCGAGGAGCCGGGGTCTCAGGGCTCCCTCTGCCCTGGCCCTGAGGGGAACCTGGGGGTGGCATGCCACGGCCCCACCTGTGTCCACCCTGCAGGATCGAGAGCTACTCCTGTAAGATGGCGGGGGATGACAAGCACATGTTCAAGCAGTTCTGCCAGGAAGGCCAGCCACACGTGCTGGAGGCCCTGTCCCCACCGCAGACCTCGGGCCTCAGCCCCAGCAGGTGAGCCTGGGCAGGGCCTGCCCACGGGGGCTGTCGGGCGCAGGGCGGTGCTGGGCTGACGCTTCTCTGTGCAGACTGAGCAAGAGCCAAGGCGGCGAGGATGAGGGCCCCCTGAGCGACACGTGCAGCCGCAAGACGCTCTTCTACCTGATCGCCACGCTCAACGAGTCCTTCCGCCCCGACTACGACTTCAGCACGGCCCGGAGCCACGAGTTCAGCCGGGAGCCCAGTCTCAGCTGGGTGAGGGCTCCCCCACCCCCCGCTGTTCACACTGTCCTCCCCGTTTTTCCTGGCCCCTAACCCAGTCCGTGCCTGCTGTCCTGGCACCGAGTCAGCCGAGCTGTGCCCATTCTAGGTGGTGAATGCGGTCAACTGCAGTCTGTTCTCGGCTGTGCGGGAGGACTTCAAGGCCCTGAAGCCACAGCTGTGGAATGCAGTGGACGAGGAGATCTGCCTGGCCGAGTGTGACATCTACAGGTGGGCTGGCGTCCCTGCAGGTGGGCGCTGGGTGTGCGTGGCACCTGGGGCCTCACACCCATCTCACTCCACACTATCCAGCTACAACCCGGACTTGGACTCGGACCCCTTTGGGGAAGATGGCAGCCTCTGGTCCTTCAACTACTTCTTCTACAACAAGCGGCTTAAGCGGATTGTTTTCTTCAGCTGTCGCTCCATCAGGTTGGCGTCCGTCCCTTCCCCCAGCTTCCTGTTAGGCCCACCCCACTCCTGACTCTGTCCCCTCTGGGGGCAGCAGCAGGCCAGGGTGGGCAGTTCTAAGACTGCTTCCCCACCTCCCCCAGTGGATCCACGTACACACCCTCGGAGGCAGGCAATGAGTTGGACATGGAGCTGGGGGAGGAGGAGGAGGAGGAACTCAGAGATGGAGGCAATGAGGGCGGATCCGAGGAGACCAGCCCCATGGAGGACAGGTGTGTGATGGTGGCGGCAGACGGGCTCCCTGGAGCGTGGGGTGGGCAGGGCGGGGTGGGGCCCTCTGCCTGGTCTCCTGGGTGTTAGCTCCTCAAGGCTCCTGTGTGCCCCCCTCTGCCCAGAGTCCCGGTGATCTGTATGTGAGGAGGAGAAGCAGAGGCCCAGCTTCATCCAGCGTCAACCAGTGCCTGGACTTGCCCACCTGAGGGGCCCTGGGCCTCCCCAGCTGCTGGCCAGACCCTGGCACGGCTCCAGCTCCAGCTGCCCACCTAGCCCTTTGGTTCCAGCCTACGGACGGCCACTCACCCCCACAGGCTCTGCTGCCCACATTGTGGCTGGACTGGACAGACTCGGGGCCTGGTGGGCACAGCCACTGCCCTGCCCAAACGAACTGACTGAGGCAGGGACTGCTGGACCACAGAGTTTATTTTTGTATTTTGTACCCTGAGCCTGCACACTCCAGCCCGAAGGGCCTGAGACCCAGCAAGCAGGCCTGACAGTCGTCCTCCCTGGCTTGGGCCGCTCTTGGTGCCCACCTGTACCCCCACCTCGCCCACCGGGCAGCGTGCACTGAGTGTCACTTTGCTGCAGCTTGTTTGTTTCCAATAAAAGTTTATGTGACTTATTGTGGACCTGGGCTCTGCATGGCGTGGGGGCGGGGCCTGCGTGGGGGCGGGGCTACGTCCCCTGGTATCCTAGCAACGGGCAGTAGGGGCTGTTAAGCCGCCTGGACCTGCCGCCGCCAAAATGGAGACGGATGTGTCCGATGTCAGCAACCCCTTTTTAGTAGAAGACAACATGACTCTGGACCCAGACCTGAACGACACTGACAACTATGGCGTCCCGGACCCCGGGCTGCTCGAAGAACGTGGTGAGCCGGCCTGGCCCGCACCCAGGCGTGATGTCAGC